GTCCCTGAAGGCAATATCGTATCAGGAAGACGACCACAAATTTAAGAGGATCATAAATGAGGAAGACTAGTAGATAACGCGGTGGGCTGTTTTGTTCATATTTTGAAGTCATAAACTGAACACTGCCAAAAGTGTCTAGCAGAAGATAAATTCGTATACAAGAAACTATTGTTAATTACGTAACACTTCATAAAAAGCAACGAATTTTCCGCAGTTCTTCAAATAAAAAATCTAACGCTAATCCGTATTCTTAATGAATTAGTTTGCATAAAAGTTTGCTTATCTAATAAGTAGTTAATATAGTATCTAATATAGTTTTTCTATGGAGACTCTCCTGAGAAAATAAAGTACTATAGATGCTTTCCGCATCGAAACCGAGAAAAAAAATCGAAGACCACGTTGGATGGATGACATATTCAAAACTGGTCACTATTCATATGCGGTGGATTATAAAAGCTTGAAAGACATGGTCTACCATAACTGATCATACAGTATACCATAAAAAAAACTGATAACATTACGATAACGCGTCGCATATCACTGTCTGACTACTCAGATGATCGATTACCTTGAGCCGCTTGCATAATCACAACGTCCCTGGTTTGAGACGTCCACCAATTTTGCCATCAAGCCACAAGTTAGGGTATCGTTGAAGAAACAGCTCCTTTTGAACGCAGATATGCATCAGCTTTGTCTTTTCAGAACTGCTGCATGTTGGTTTCCATGCATCATATATTACCTATATCACTAAAGACGACGGAACGAAATTAACACCTGGGGCATAGTCGTGAAAACGGAGACGAATGATGAATTATCGCTAGAAAATATTGAGGTTAATTAATCTATATTTATCTTTATTTTCTTGTTTCAAAGTGAAGCTGATTGCTGATAAAAACGCATAGAAGTGTGCACTAGGTTAATAAGTGGGTGGAAGGTGGGGACTCCAAAATCAACTCTGCGCCTTTTCATCAAATCGTATTTTCTTCCCTTTCTTTACGTAAGCTTTTCTTATCTTCATGCCGGACTTTCCAAATCCGACTTTCGCATTCTCTGCGGGTACCCTCAAATTGATAACACGGAATGGCTGCTTCCATTTTGACCTTCTTATCAAAGAACTTGCAAAATTCAACTTAAAAGCTTGCCGATATTCCGTCTTATCCGACTTTGTCATCTTCTGTATCCTTAATAAAAAAGTGAACACCTACTGCCACACAAAACTGCTGTCATCAGCCACTTTTCGTGCCTTCGCACGCTTCATCAAAAAATCATGATCGTTTCCTGATAAAAAACATAAACAGCTACTTCAACTGCCACCTATCGTTTAACCTGTACTGGTGCGGTTAGCCTGTGTTGTTCTTTCACGCTGAAACATATAGCCATGTTTGCACATTCAAGCTACAGAGTTATGTCCATTCGTTCATATTCATATTCTTTCTTCAAAATGCGCACCATAATTCGAAGCTCAACGGATAAACGACGACTAACCATGACCGATGGGTCGAGCCTTCAATTCAAAGCCAATTTGATGACCGAACAGTTTTCTTGTGTAAAAGGAAAAACTGCCAAAATCAAGGTTTTCTATCTGCCGGTTGCACTACTGGCGGAGAAAGATGCATTTCAGAGAGTTTCTAGGGAAACTGTGCACTGAACCTGAATCGAAAAGTAATTCAGACAACTAAATACCATGACAGAATGAATTTAACTACACTACCCTTCTTTTTTGTTTAGTACGAATTCACGAGGTAACATAATCCGCTCAAGGTAACATAATTTCTGTGTATGTGATGACGTTGAAATGACGAGCGCAATTAATTAATACCGAGATATAGTTTAGACAGAGAACGATCGTGTAGCATCATTAGTCGATTGTGAATGACCTTCCAATGCTGGACTGTTACTGGCGATGGAAACTTTGTTCAAATCTAGTAATGGCGGCTTGGCAGTTATAATCTTCATAAGGTTTACTTTACATAAAAAATTTTTAAAATTCAATCCCGACAGCTGGATCCATCTTCAGGTGACAATTCATAACAAAAAGTATAATAGACAATGTCATTGCAGAATGTGTAGAATTGCAAAGGTGCAGAAGCGATCAACGAATTGTTCATACGTACTGCAGTTGAAGCTGGAAAGTTTACATGTAATACAGTTCAGGTCTTTCTCATCAACTGCTCTGTTGTTTTCCTTCAGAGTCTTGTCCGCTGTCTCTGTGATATACACGCACACTTAAATTAATAGGGCATGTCTGGTCTTTCGCTTCTATAAGTAATTTCTATCACGGCCATACCCCTTTCATATATTTTCAGTCAATGATACAGTGGTTTCACTACATGTTCAATAATTGCAGAATTACTTTTGCATTTTACCTTTGTTTCTGACAAGTCCTTAATCCTTTATGTCCTAGGTCGTTTTTGATCTTGTACATGTTCAACCTTGTGATGCATGAGTGCGACCTTTTATTCTGTATTCGCTCCTGTAGCCGGTTCCGTCAATGTACAAAGCTCCGCATTCGCACGGAGTAGTACAGATGATACCTTGCTTTTCCTCCTACTTTGTTTTGCCCCTTTTTATATGAGTTAGCTGACTGCGAAGTGTGACAGCAGAAGTGTAGAGCAATTTTACACTAGTTTTAGAAGCTTACCTTCGAGCCCTTCGTGGGAACTAGATAGTGAGGACTGAAAACCGTTGTGGTGTTGTCGTCCCGCCCCTTGGCCGGTTCCGCTCGGTTCGATTGTTTAATTTCCTGTGCGTTGATCGTTTCAGTGATGAGCTACGCTGGTAGCCGAACACCCTCAAACTGTTAAAAATAGCCATAGCTCTCTTTGGGCATCGCTTTCCTTTCCTAGGCGTCTTAAGACTAACGTGCTTAAAATGCTTCTTTAACTTTTATGAGGGTGGCTGGACTTGTAGGGCAGGAAACAACACATAGGAATCGGACTGTAGACTTTTATGACATACGTTTCTCTTCTTCGAGATACCAGCACATCTAAAAGCGGTACGACAGCCAGTTTTCTTCAACTTTCAGCGTGAAGAAAATGTTCGTTAGTTCAGATCGTTCAGGAATCGGCTTTCCGCTCCTTTCCGGCAAACGCCGAATATGCAGTCTATACGTCTTGTAATGGTATTCATAAAACAGTTTTGTCTCGAAGTTTAGTCCGTTTCTCCATGGTCATC